AGGTCAGAAAAAAACTGGGAAGGGGAGGGATAGAACGTGGTGAAAGTAGATGCTAGATCAGGGAATATTTTACGCAGAAGTCAGCCTGGTGATTTTGTTTGTTTGTTTGGTTTTCTTGAGGCGAGGTCTTGCCCTGTTGCCTAGGCTGGAGTGCAGTGGCACAGTCTCAGCTCACTGCAGCCTCCACCTCCGCCTCCGCCTCCCAGGTTCAAGCAATTCTCTCACCTCAGCCTCCTGAGTATCTGGGATTACGTGTGTACCACCACGCCTGGCTAATTTTTTATATTTTTTTATTTATTGTATTTATGTATTTTTTTTGTTTGACTCAAAGTCTAGTTTTGTTGCCGGGTGGAATGCAGTGGTATGATCTTGGCTCACTGCAACATCTGCCTCCTGGGTTCAAGCCGTTCTTCTGCCTCAGCCTCCCGAGTAGCTGGGACTACAGGCGCAGGCCAGCACACCTAGCTAATTTTTGTATTTTTAGTAGAGACAGGGTTTCACCATGTTGGCCAGGATGGTATTGATCTCTTGACCTTATGATCTGCCCACCATGGCCTCCCAAAGTGCTGGGATTACAGGCGTGAGCCACCACGCCAGCCTGAGTGCTATTTTAAATCATCCAGAATCAGCTGTGTATAATTCTCAGCAAAGTCAGTGATTTAGAAGCATACTTTGCAAATTGTGTCGTGTGCAACAATAAACTGGAGATCTTCTTGAAATGCAGATTCTCATTCAAGAGATCCGGGGTTGGTCTTTTGTTTCTGCATTTTTTTTTTGTTATTTATTTTTTTTTTAGAAAAAGTCTCGCCTATTCCTCACGCTGGAGTGCGGTGGCAATACTTCTGTCTCAGCTTTTTGAGTAGCTGGGATTACAGGTGTGTGCCTGTAATAATTCATGGAGAATATGAAATTGAGAGTTTTATAGGATTTGCAGGTTTATAGCATGATAGCAAGAATGGCAAAAATCTTTGTCTTCTTTTTGAGACTGAGTCATCTGTCACCCAGGATGGGGTGCAGTGGTGCGATCTGGGTTCACTGCAACCTCTGTCTCCCAGGTTTTAGTGATCTCCTGTCTCAGCCTTTTGAGTAGCTGGGATTGCAGGTATGCACCACAAAGTCTGGCTAATTTTGTATTTTTGATAGAGACATTTCACCATGTTGGTGAGGCTGGTCCTGAACTCCTCAATTTAAGTGATCCTCCTCCTTTGGAGTCCCAAACTGCTGAGATTACAAGCATGAGCCACCATGCCTGGCAACAATCTTTCTTGGACTATATTGACTATATACTAAATTTTATCCTAGCAATTTTTTATATATTAATGAACAATACAACAAAATAATTCATGAGAAGTAATAATATTCGTCCCTGTTTAATATGCATCCCTGGGCCAGACACAGTGGCTCACGCCTGTAATCCCAGCACTTTGGGAGGCTGAGGCGGGCGGATCACAAGGTCAGGAGTTCAAGACCAGTCTGGCCAACATCGTGAAACCCCATCTCTACTAAAAATACAAAAATTAGCTGGGTGTGGCGGCGGGCGCCTGTAGTTTCAGCTACTGGGGAGGCTGAGGCAGGAGAATCGCTTGAACCCTAGAGGCAGAGGTTGCAGTGAGCCGAGATCATACCATTGCACTCCAGCCTGCCAGCCTGGGCAACAAGAGTGAAACTCTGTCTCAAAAAAAAAAAAGAAAAGAAAAAAATATTTTGTCAAATATTTAGTACATAGTAGAGCTTTTTTTTTTTTTTTTTGAGACAGAGTCTTGCACCGTTGCCTGGGCTGGAGTGCAGTGGCACAATCTTGGCTCACTGCAACCTCCGCCTCCCGGGTTCAAGCAATTCTCCTGCTTCAGCTTCCCAAGTAGCTGGGATTACAGGTGCCCACCACCACGCCCAGCTAATTTTTTATATTTTTGGTAGAGAGGGGTTCTTCCATGTTGGTCAGGCTGGTCTCGAACTCCTGACCTCAGGTGATCTGCCCACTTTGGCCTCCCAAAGTGCTAGGATTACAGGCATGAGCCACTGTCCGGTGACTCTTTTCTTACCTGTGCTTTGCTAATAGTAGAGGTTGTGACCTATCTCTGGCTCCAGCACTTAGATATTATGACTCTCCTCCCCTGCCTGGTCTATGCCCACAGAAAAGAGAGTGACTTATCGCTAGGCTCAACACACAAGTGATTCGATTCTTCTTCATGATCCCAGCCCACACGGCTTATTGTGACATCTTTAGACCAATCACCTAGGTGATGTGACTCTCCTTTTCTTCCTGGGAACTGTCCATAATGAGGATTGTGACACATCACTTGGTCCAGCACTTATGTGATGTGACTCTCTTCTTTTGTCTGGGTCTATCAAATTGGGTGATTGTGTCATATAGCTTTACTCAGCACCTAGATAATGTGACTCTCCTGTTTCTCCTGAGTCCTACCTACAGAGGTCATTGCAACATATCTCTGAGCCCCTCATTTAGGTAATTTGACTCTCCTGCCTGGGCTCTGTGCTCAGTGATTTTTGTGACACATTTTTCGATTCAGCATCTAGGTAATGTGACTCTTCCCCACTGCTTGGACTCTGTCACAGAAGGTATTGTGATGTATCACTGGGCCTGACACTTGGGTGAAGATACTGTCTTCTCCTGCCTGGACACTGCATGAATTGTATATTTTGACATGTCACTGGGTTTAACACACGGGTGATTCAGCTCTCTCACATGTACCATGAGCATGGGTTATTGGGACATTTATTTTTGTTCATCACCTGAGTGATATGACTCCTCTCCCCCCGAGCCCTGTCAAAAGGAAAGATTGTGACATATCACTGAAACCAGAACTTAGGTGATGCGACTCTTCTATCTAGCAACCACATATTTTGGGAATTGTGGCATTTCACTGGGCCAAACACCTAAAAAATGAGAAGCTCCTGCCTCAGCCCTGTCCCCAGGGGTTCTTGTGACATATATCTGCATCCATTACATAAAAGATGTGATGCCTTTTCTGCCTGCACTCTGCCCGCAGGAAAGATTGTGACACACTGCAGGGCCCAGCCACCGGGTGATGTGTCTCTCCTGCATGTGCATAACTTTCAGGAGAAAATGGTAACACACCACTGGGTGAAAACCCAGATGACGTGACTCTCCTGCCTTGTCACAGCCCTCAGGGAAAAAATGTACATATCATTGGCCCAGCATCCAGGTGATATGACTCTCCTGGGTGCTTTCTGCCAGCAAGTTGGTTGGTAACATGTATCTCATCCCAGCTCACAGGTTTGATGATGACTCTAATACCTCATACCAGCCAATAGAAGAGATACTGTCTCACAGCTAGGCTTAGAAAAAGGAGTAAAATCCCGGGTCTCCTCTCTGCATGAAGGCTATAGAGAATCACCACTCTCTCGTATATTGTATAAAGCACTCGGATGGTACAGTGTACAGAGCATGTCATCATAGGACCCAGCAAACAGGTTAGATCATGTTTCATGGAAGCACTCCCTGCCAATTTTTAGAATTGTCATCCTCACACATGGTAAAAGCCCACTGATGAGGTCGTAATTCTCATCCACAGATGCAGTCCACAGTTAAAATTGTGACTATCATATGTGAACATGTGTGTTCACATATCATATGTGGCCACAGTTGAGATGGTGACTCATTTCTAAACCCAGCTCATAGGTGGCTGAGGACTCTTCTCCCTGGAGCCAGCCAATTGGAGAGATGTTGACTGTCATAGCTAGACTTAGGACCATGTTAGATCATGGGTCCAAAGCAGCGCAGAGTTCTCAGAGCAGGTTGCAACTCTCATGCACACCATATACAGTCCACAAGAGAGTGCCCTCACGGGGCCAAGCACACAGGTGAGATTGTGAAACATATTCACACCCAGTCAATACCAAAGATTGTCATTTACTTAAATAAACACACCCTACTTTTGAGGTTCTGAACCTCACTTTTGGAGGCAGTTGAATGTTGGAAAATTGACTCTCATTTGTGGATTTTGTCCATAGTTGGGTTAGTGACTCTTTAATCAAAATTCAGCACACCTTTGTGACTGTAACTTCACTATGGAGCTTTATTTATTTATTTAGAGATGAAGTTTCACTCTTGTAACCCGGGCTGGAGTGCAGTGGCCTGATCTCGACTCACTGCAACCTCTGCCTCCTGGGTTCAAGTGATTCTCCTGCCTGATTCTCCCGAGTAGTTGGGATTATAGGTGCCCACCACCCCACTGGCTAATTTTTTGTATTTTTAGTAGAGCTGGGGTTTCACCATGTTGGTCAGGCTGGTCTTGAACTCGTGACCTCTAGTGATCCGCCCACCTTGGCCTCCCAAAATGCTGGGATTACAGGTGTAAGCCACCATGCCCAGCCTAAGGCACATAATTTGCAAAGGAAATTGAGGTTCTTGCACAAATCCAGTCCACCACTGAGATTGTGACCCCTGTACTTAGACCCAACATGCAGGAGGTGTTGACTCTCATCCCTTGACTGAGGACAAGCGTGTAATTGTTAATGTCATCACAAGACCTTTCGACAAGTGTAATTGTGACATACACCTTGGCCCAGCATCTGAGTTATTTGTCTCTTTCCTGGGCCCAGCTCATAGTGACATATCACTGGACCTAGACCCTTGGTAATGTGATTCTATTCTGCCTTGATACAGCCCATAGGGGTCATTGTGACATCACTGGGCATTGCACCCAGGTGATGTGAGTCTCCTCCTCTGCCTTGGTGCTGCCCACAGGTGTATTGTGACATATTGCTGGGTGTATGTTATGTGACTCTTTTGTTTGTGCCCTAAACACATAGGCCATTGTAACGTTGCTGAATCCAACACCCAGGTGATGTAACGCTTCATCCTGGACCTGTCTACAGAGGGGATTTTAATATATGTCTTCACCAATCACCCAGGAAATGTGACTTTTTATTCCTGCCTGTTCTCCACTCACAGGGGATATTGGAACATATTGTTGGGTACAGCACCTAACTGATGTGACTTTTCTTTTTTCTAGGTTCTGCCGACAAAGGAGATTATGACATATTGCTGGGCCTAACACTAAGGTGATGTTACAGCTTTGGCTGTGCCCTTGGAAGGCATTGAGACATACTGCTGTGCCCAGCACCAAGATGATGTGAGTTCTCTGCCTGAACCCTGACCACAGGAAGCATTGTGACCTACCTATTGACCCACTGCAATCTCTCCTATGGGAAAAGCACAGATAAATGCCCTCTTTTACCTACATGATTTGACATTCCTCTACTGCCTGGGCCATGCCCACAGAATAGAGTGATTTATCGCTGGACCAAGCAGTGATGTAATTATTCTGCTTGGTCCTTGCACACACAAGTCACTGTGATACATGTTTGGACCCATAACCTAGATGATGTGCCTCCTCTTCTGGGGTTTGTCCACAGCGGCAATTGTGATATATCGCTTGACGTAGCTCCTAGGTGATGTGACTCTTCTTTCATGCTTGGGCCCTTCCCACTGGGATGATTGGAACATAAAGCTGAGCCCAGCACCTAGGTTATGTGACTCTCTTCTTGTTTATGAGCCCTACCCACGGGAGGCATTGTGACATATCTCTAGGCCTCTCACTTAGGTAATATGACTTTTTTGCCTAGGCCCTCCCCTCCAGAAATATTGTGAAATATTTCTGGACCAAGAACCTAGGTGATATGACTCTCCTCTCCTGCTTGGGACTTGCATACATGGCGTGTTGCAACACGTCTCTGAGTCCAACACCAGGGTGATGTGACTGCCCTGCATGGATGCTCCCACGGAAATATTATAACATCTCTTTATTCATTATCTAGGTAATGTGACTCTTCTCTTCTGCTTAAGGCCTGCCAAAAGAAAAGATTGTGACAGATCACCGGACCCAGCACCTAGGTGATGTGACTCCCCTCATTTGCCTGAGACCTGCTATATTTTGGATATTGTGACATACAACCGGGACAAACACCTAGGGGCTGGAAGGCTTCTGCCTGAGTCCCTCCCACAGGAGACCTCGTGATGTTTTTTTTGTTGGTTTTTTGTTTTTTTGAGATGGCGTTTTGTTCTTGTTGCCCAGACTGGCATGCGGTGGCGCGACCTCGGCTCACCGCAACCTCTGCCTCTCGGGTTCAAGCGGTTCTCCTGCCTCAGCCTCCCGAATAGCTGGGATTACAGGCATCTGCCACCGTGCCCGGCTAATTTTCTATTTTTAGTAGAGACAGAGTTTCTCCATGTTGGTCAGCCTGGTCCCGAACTCCTGAAATCAGGTGATCCACCTGCCTCGGCCTCCCAAAATGCTAGGATTACAGTTGTGAGCCACCAGCTTTGTGATGTATTTCTGCATCCATCATGCAGGAGATAAAACCCTGTATTTTTGCCTGCATCCTGCCCACAGGGAAGATTCTGACATATGGTTGGGCCCGGCAACCAGTCGTTGTTGTGTCTGTCATATCTGGGCCCAGCACCCAGGGGATCTCACTCTTCTACCTGTGCCCTGCTTTCAGGAGGGGATTGTAACATCCCTGGTGAAGCCCCCAGTGATGTGATTCTCCTGCTTTTGTGACATAGCCCTGGCCCAACACATAATTGATGTCACTCTTGCATTTGCTCTTTCCATACAGGTAGGATTGTGACATATATCTGGCCAAGCATGCAGATGTAATGGTAACTGTCATACCTTGCAGAAGCCAATAGGAGAGAGAATGTTGCCCTCAGCTAGGCTGAGGAAAATGAGGAAGTCCTCCTGTACAAAAGTCATAAAGAATTAGTACTCTCTCACATCTATAAAGCCCTAGTGTGTACAGAGAATGTCATAACAGGGTGCAGCACACAACTGAGATTGTATTTGTCCTATGCACACCACACCAACCTTTACAGTTGTCACCCTGATCCATTGACAGAGTCCACTAGTGAGGTCCTGAATCACATGTGAACACAGTCCACAGTTGGAATCGTGACTGTTATATGTGAACATCTGGCTACAGCTGGGATGGTGACTGATTTCTAAATCCAGCTCATAGGAAGGTGAAGATTCTCCTATCTGGACTCAATTAGAGAGACGTTGACTCTCATATCTGGGCTTAGAACCACAGGAAAGATTCTGGAGCTCCTTCTTGTGCAAAGGTCACAGAGGATTACCAATCTTGCATATTGTATAAAGTCCTCAGGTGACACAGAGAGTGTCTGTCCAATGCACACCCGGGCAACAGTAAGGATTGTCATTCTCCCATGTAAACACATCCCACTGTTGAAGTTCTGAATTTCACAGAGGCTGTCAAAAGTTGGATAATTGCCTCTCGTGTGGATCTGGTCCACAGGTGGGTTAGTGACTTCTAGACCAAGAGTCACCACACGTGTAAGTCTGTGACCGCACTAAGAAGATACAGTCTGCAGAAGAAACTGTGGCTCTTTTGCACACATTCTGTCGATCATTGAGATTGCGACTCATGTACTTAGACCCAACATACGGGAGGTGTTGACTTTCATACCTTTAGAACCTGGACATGTTTGGAATTTCTAATCTAATCCCTGGACTTGCCTGCAGGTGTGATTGTATGCATCTGCAGGGCACCTTAGTGATCAGACTCTCCTGCGTTGGCCAGGCCCACAAATGAGATTGTGACATATGGTTTGACTCTGGACCTCCAAGATGTGACTTTTTTCCAGCCTTGGAGCTGTCCACAGGGTGCATTGTGACATATTCCTAAGCCCTGCACTCAGGTTATGTGACTCTCCTTTTTTGCTTAGGCCTGAATATTTTTCATGTTAAGACATATTGCTAGGTCCAACACCTATAAAATGGGAGACTGCCACCTGGGCCCTTTCTACAGAGGGCCTTGTGACAGACCGCTGCATCAGTAACCTGGGAGATGTGACTCTCCATTTTTACCTGTACTCGTCCCACAGAAAAAACTGGCTGGCCCAGGTACCAGGTGATATGTGTCTGCTGCCTGGGCCTGGACCACAGAGGGCATTGTTACTGATTGCTGGGCTCAGCACCCAGGTGATGTGATTCTGCTGCCTGTGTGCTGCTTTCAGGAGAAGGTTGTAACTTATTCCTGGCTGAGTATTCAGGTGATGTCACACTTCTGACTGGTCTCTGCCCTCAGAAAAGGTTGTGTCAAGCCAGGCCTGGTGGCTCATGCCAGTAATACCCAGCACTTTGGGAAACCGAGGTGGGTGGATCGCCTGAGGAGTTTGAGACCAGCTGGCCGACATGGTGAAACCCCGTCTCTACTAAAAATACAAAAATCAGCCGGGTGTGGTGGCAGCCGCCTGTAATCTCAGCTATTCGGGAGCCTGAGGCAGGAGAATTGCTTGAACCCAGGAGGGGGAGGTTGCAGTGAGCCAAGATCATGCCACTGCACTCCAGCCTGGGCAGCAGAGCAAGACTCTGTCTCGGGGAGAAAAAAAAAAAATTACAAAAATTAGCTGGGCATGGTGGCATGTTCCTGTAGTCCCAGCTACTTGGGAGACTGAGGCACAAGAATCATGTACTTGAACCTAGGAGGCGGAGGTTGCAGTCAGCTGAGACTGTGCCATTGCACTCCAGCCTGGGCAACAAGAGCGAAACTCCATCTCAAAAAAAAAAAAAAAAAAGGTTGCGTCATATTCCTGGCTAAAAACCCAGATGATGCGACTCTCCTCTCTCCCTATTCACAGGCAGGATTGTAATATACATTTTTTTTTTTGAGACAGTTTCATTCTGTCCCCCAGGCTGGAGTGCAATGGCATGATCTTGGCTCACTGAAACCTCCACTTCCTGGGTTCAAGCAATTCTCCTGCCTCAGCCTCCTCAGTAGCTAGGAATACAGGCGTGAGCCACCACACCTGGCTGATTTTTGTATTTCTAGTAGAGACAGGGTTTCCCAATGTTGGTGAGGCTGGTCTCAAACTCTTGAGCTCAGGTGATGCACCTGTCTCGACCTCCCAAAGTGCTGGGATTACAGGTGTGAGCAACTGCGCCTGGCCTGTAAAATATATCTTGACCTAGATCACAGATGCAATGATTACTCTCATACCTCACACTATCTAATAGGAGAGATGCTGTCTCTCTCTCTTTTTTTTTTTTTGGAGACAGTTTCGTTCTTGTTGCCCAGGCTAGACTGCAATGGCGTGATCTCCGCCCACTGCAACCTCTGCCTCCCAGGTCTAAGCGATTCTCTTGCCTCAGCCTCCCAAGTAGCTGAGATTACAGGCATGTGCCACCATACCCAGCTAATTTTGTATTTTTAGTAGAGATGGGGTTTCTCCATGTTGGTCACGCTGGTCTCAAACTCCCAACCTCAGGTGATCTGCCCACCTCAGCTTCCCAAAGTGCTGGGATTACAGGCATGAGCCACTGCACCCAGCCCAACCAAGATGCTGTCTCTTACAGCTAGGCCTAGAGTCATGAATAGGATTCTGGGTCTCCTTGTACAAAGGTCATAACGAATTACCACTTTCTTGCATACTATATAAATCTCTTGTGGTGCAGAGAGTGTCATTACAGGGTTCAGCATACAGGTGAGATTGTGGTTCTCATATACACTCCCGGCCAACTGTTAGAATTGTCACCCTCACACGTAGACAGAGCCCACTGGTGAGGCCCTGAATCTCACACACATACACAGTCTACAGTTAAAATTGTGACTGTCATATGTGAACATCTGGCTAGAGTTGAAATAGTGATTTATTTCTAAATCCAGTTCATAGGTGAGAATTCTACCTGTCTAAGCCCAGGTAGGATAGTCAACATGTCCCTAATTGGCTGGGGGACATGTTGACTCTCCTACCTGGGCTTAGGGCCAAACAGTTCATGGAAGGGATGAAGGCTCTCAGCTCTCATGCACAGATTCAGTTGGTGAGATTGTCACTAGCACACTTAGACCCAACATACAGAATGTGGTGACTCACATGTCTAGAACTGGGACATGTGCAGGATTTTTAATTACTGGACCTTCTTGCAGGTGTGATTGTGACATATGTCTTTGTTATGCACTGGAGTGCTTTGATGCTTCTGTCTTGGTTCAGCCCGAAGTGAAGATTGTGATGTATCACTGAACCCAGCATCTCGGTGATGTGACTTTTGTTTTTGGACACCACAAATTTTGGGTATTGTCAAATATTGCTGGATCGTGTACCTATGTTATGTGACTCTCCAACCTGTGTCCTGCATGTTGTGCCATATTGCAGCACAATGTTTCACATTAGACATCATTACATATTGCTGGGCTCAACACCCAGGTGATGGAACGTTATTTTCCTGGGCCCTGACTACAGGGGGCTTTGTGACATAACTGAATGCCCATAACCATGGTGATGTTACTCTTCTCCTGCCTGGTCTCTGCTCACAGGGAAATTGTGACATACCATTGGCTTAGCATCTTGGTGATGTGACTCTCCTCTTTTTTCTCAGGCCCCACATATTTGGGTATTGTGACATACTCAGATGTGACACTGGGCTCAACACCTAAGGGATGGGGAGTCCCCTACCTGGCTCCTTCCTCCAGGGGGCATTGCGATATACCTCTGCACAGGTATGTCACAGTTATTACGTAGGAGATGTGACTCTCCTCTTCTGCCTGCACCCTGCCTACAGTGAAAATTGTGGCACATTTCTGTGGCCAGCAACCAGGTGATGTGTTTCTCCTGCCTGGATCTTTATTACAGAAAAGATGGTTGACATATCACTAGGCCCAGCATCTAGGTGATGTGACTCTCTTCTGCCTGGTCCCTGCTTACAGGAACATTGTAGCATATTGCTATGCCCAGCACTTTTCTCTTCTTTTAGGTTTTGCCTGCAGGAGACTTTGTGACATTGCTGGGCCCTGCACTGACATTATGTGACTCTTCTGTCTCTGTTTTGCCTACTTGGGCCACTGTGACATATTGCTGGGTCCAACATCCAGGTGATGTAACTTTTATGCCTGGGTCCTGGCATCTGAGGACATTGTCTTTGCACCAATCACACAGGTGATGTGATTTTCTTCTGTTACCTGGTCTGTGCACACAGGAAAAATTGTGACCTTGGCCAGGCGCAGTGACTCACGCCTGTAATCACAGCACTTTGGGAGGCCGAGGTGAGTAGATACCTGAGGTCAGGAGTTCAAGACCAGCGTGGCCAACATGGTGAAACGCTGTCTTAAAACACAAAAATTAGCTGGGCATGGCGGCAGGCACCTGTAGTTCTAGCTACACAGGAGGCTGAGGCAGGGGAATCGCTTGAACCGGGGAGGTGGAGATTGCAGTGAGCCGAGATGGCACCACTGCACTCCAGCCTGGGTGACAGAGCGAGACTCCATCTCAAAAAAAAAAGATTGTGACCTTTTGCAGCACATAGCTGATTTGACTGTGCTTTGTGGAGTACACCAAGCAGGTTGTCAAACTGATAGTCCCTTTACTGAAATTTTATTTCCACGATGGTGTTGGAGGGGCAGCAGCAGAATCTATGCCTTTTCTCCTAAAGTGTGCGAGAGTCTGTGGTCCTGAGTATCTCACACAGATGTGGCAATTTATGTGATGTTCTAATTAAGACCATTGGTACAGAAACAGATTCAGACGTCTTCTCGGAAATAATGCATTGTTTAGCAAAGTGCATTGAAGTAATGGGAGACGGATGCCTTAGTAATGAACACTTTGAAGAACACCTTTGCCACATGTCCTCAGGACCTTCTGAGGGCTGTGTCATGGGGCATGGTCACTCATATTTGACTCTGAATAAATTTCTTCAAATATTTTAAAGAGTTTAACTCTTCATTGACACAGCTGATGTATGGAGCACGCTTGCTGTGCCAACCAGTGTTTCAAAGCTGTTTAGATATTTTTGCTCATTAAATCTTCATCAGCAAAAACTGGAGGTAAGCTTAATGATTCCTCGTGTCACAGACAAGGTAACTGAAAGAAGAAAAAATTTAGGAACTTGCCCAAAGTCAGCCAGGTAGGAAGTGGCTGAGCTAATAGTTGATTAAACAACTATTCATTGATCACCTGCCATGGGCTGAGCACTGTGATTGGCACTGGGAATATAGTGGTAAACAAGACATAGCTCCCCGGAACAAAACTATAAGAAAGTAAACAACAAACACCAAGATTATATCAAAGATGTGAAATGCCAGAACGTGCTGCTGCTATAAAGAATTCCACAGGGTTATTGGGGGTAGATTGTAATTAAAAGGAGGTGGGTAAAGCAAAGCTTTCCAGAGAGGGCTAAAGCTGAGCCAGGTCTGGATGCTCTTATCAATGTGAGTACTTAGAGTTTGTCTCAGTTTATTTGCAGCCCCTAAAATCTAGAATTTGTCTCAGTTTCTTCGTATGCAGCCCCTAAAATCTTTGGAATGTCTGAAAAGAGAAGCGTCTTTTGTATGTTAATGAGATGACTTCTGGCTGGAGGCTTCTGGACAGCCTCAGGACCAGGGTTGATTGCCAGAGAAACCAATTGTGTAACAGAGCATTAAAACTCAGCTGGCCCGGCATGGTGGCTCCTGCCTGTAATCCCAGCTCTTTGGGAGGCGGATCACCTAAGGTCAAGAGTTCAAGACCAGCCCAGCCCAAACGGTGAAACCCCATCCCTACTAAAAATACACAAATTAGCTGGGTGTGGAGGTGAGCGCATGTAATCCCAGCTACTTGGGAGGCTGAGGCAGGAGAATCCCGGGAGGCGGAGGCTGCAGTAAGGTGAGATCAAGCCACTGCACTCCAACCTGGGTGACAGAGCAAGACTCCATCTCAAAACAGAAAAACATTTCTTACCTCCTTGGATGGTAGAGAAGCAATCTGGGCTTTGTAAAAGTAAAAAGAGTACCTTATTTGATTCAACTAAGTAAATTGTTAAAGGGGCATATCAATGAAAAGCTCTTCCACCCTAGCCTCACTAGTTAAGTACCAGTTAGGGGAAGTTTTTTTGGTATCCTGAAATTGCTTTCTGCCTTTCCATGCATATCATTAAGAAAGGGCACACTCTTAAACCAATCTGTAACCTCATACCATTCTCAAAAAAAAAAAAAAAAAAAAAATTAAGGTTAATTTTAAGTTTATACCAAAAGTGCACAATTTAGCAATTTAGCTGTTTTCATCAAGCCAACAATATTTTACAAGCTTACGCAAGCCAAGATTATTCTGTCTTGTGCTGGGTTTTATCATTTATAACCCTTAGGGCAAATCTTAGAGTATTCTTGCAGGAATAATCATAAAACCACTTTTTTTTTTTTTTTTTTTTTTTGAGATGGACTCTCACTCTGTCACCCAGGATAGAGTACAGTGGTGCAATTTCGGCTCACTGCAAACTCTGCTTCCTGGGTTAAAGCTGTTCTCCTCCCTCAGCTTCCTGAGTAGCTGGGATTACAGGCATGCACAACCATACCTGGCCAACTTTTGGTATTTTTAGTAGAGACAGGGTTTCACCATGTTGTCAAGGCTGGTTTCGAACTGCTGACCTCAAGTGATCCACCCGCCTTGGCCTCCCAAAGTGCTGAGATTATAGGCATGAGCCACTGCACCGGGCCAAAACCCCCTTGATTAAAAAATTGTTGCTGGGCCCGGTGGCTCACAACTGTAATCTCAGCACTTTGAGGGGCTGGGGCAGGTGGATCACAAGGTCAGGAGTTCAAGACCAGGCTGGCCAAGATGGTGAAACCCCGTCTCTACTAAAAATACAAAAATTAGCCAGGCGTGGTGGCAGGTGCGTGTAATCCCAGCTACTCGGAAGGCTGAGGCAGAGGTTGCAATGAGCCCAGATCATGCCACTGCACTCCAGCCTGAGCGACAGAGTGAGACTCCATCTCAAAAAAAGTTAACAAAATGCTAACAATATTTAAGACATTGCTGATACTATTTTACCAATAATTTTAAAGTTGCCTTATTTGTTAAAGATTATACGTAAGTCACATAAACTTTTTTTTTTGTTTTGAGATTGCCCAGGCTGGAGTGCAGTGGTGCCATCTCAGCTCACTGCAAGCTCCGCCTCCTGGGTTCACGCCATTCTTCTGCCTCAGCCTCCCGAGTAGCTGGGACTACAGGCACCCGCCACCACGCCCGCCTAATTTTTTGTATTTTTAGTAGAGAGGGGGTTTCACCGTGTTAGCCAGGATGGTCTCGATCTCCTGACCTCGTGATCCACCCGCCTCAGCCTCCCAAAGTGCTGAGATTACAGGCATGAACCACCGTGCCCAGCCTCTAATTTTTTATTTCTGATTTAAAGTTGGATGTCTTGGCCCGGCGCCGTGGTTCACTTTGGGAGGCCGAGGTGGGCGGATCACGAGGTCAGGAGAAGGGGACCATCCTGGTTAACACGGTGAAGCACCGTCTCTACTAAAAATACAAAAAAATTAGCTGGATGTGGTGGCACGCGCCTGTAATCCCAGCTACTGGGGAGACAGAAGCAGGAGAATAGCTTGAACCCGGGAGGTGGAGGTCGCAGTGAGCCAAGATCGCATTGCGCTGCTGCACTCTGGCCTGGGCGACAGAGTGAGACTCTGTCTCAAAAATAAAGTTGGATGTCTTGTAAGATAATGCTGAGTAATGCAGAAATACATATAGACATTTATGCATGTGATTTGTCCTTATACTCACACAGACCCCCCACATCACAAAAGAAAACAGGTAACTACAGCCTGACCATTAGGGCCAAGATCAAATAGCAAAATAAGTTTGCCTTTAATCTGTTTTCTTCATATATAAACATAGGAGGTCAAGACTGTGGACAGGGCTGGGCTCATGCCTGTAATCCCAGCACTTTCGGAGGCCGAGATGGGTGGATCACGAGGTCAGGAGTTCAAGACTAGCCTGGCCAAGATGGTGAAACTCTTGTCTCTACTAAAAATACAAAAATTAGCTAGGCATGGTGGTGGGTGCCTATAATCTTAGCTACTCAGGAGACTGAGGCAAGGAATTGCTTGAACCCAGGAGGTGGAAGTTGCAGTGAGCCCAGATCGTGCCACTGCACTCCATCCTGGAGGAGTGCAGTGGCTCATGTCTGTAATTCCAGCACTTTGGGAGGCGGGGGTGGGCAGATCACCTGAGGTCAGGAGTTCGAGACCAGCTTGACCAACATGGAGAAACCCCATCTCTACTAAAAATACAAAAGATTAGCTGGGCGTGGTGGTGCATGCCTGTAATCCCAACTATTTAGGAGGCTGAGGTAGGAGAATCACTTGAACCCCGGGGGTGGAGGTTGTTGTGAGCCGAGATCGCGCCATTGCACTCCAGCCTGGGCAAAAAGAGCGAAACTCTGTCTCAAAAAAGACTGTGGACAGATATGAAGATATAGAGTTTTTTCTCCTGTCACCTCATCAGTTTTTGTTCACTGTCTAATCTCTGGAAGGAAGGTGGGCAACAGGTGGCCAGCAGTGGTCTGTGTGTGGTTATCTTATTCTTGCTGCTTTCTGCTTTTTTTATGACCACTATCTGTTCCAACCTGGGAACTGAGGAGAGATGGTAGGAAGAGGCTTTCCCCCACCTCTGACGTGCAGGCCCTTCATTCAGCTGACATCTCAGCCGCACTTCAATATGGCAGCTATTGGCCACGTGTGGCTACTGGGTGCGTGGAATGTCACTGGTCTAAACTGCGATATGCTAGAAAGGTAAAATACAGAGTTAGTTTCAAAGATTTAGTTTATATATATATATAAAACTTTATATTATATATATAAACTTTATATATATTTCATTATTGAAATAATGAAATTTATATATATTTCATTATTGCTCACAAACTGATAATATTTTGGATATATTGGGTAAATTAAATTGTTACATCAACTCCACCTTTTTCTTGTTTCTTTTTAAAGTTGGCTACTAGAAAGTTTAAAATTCACATGTGGCTTATATTTTATTTCAGAGGGGTTGCCTTTTTAAAAAAATCTCAGGCTGCTTGCTCAAATGCCAGAAGCCAGGAAGATCATCAAAACTGAAATTTTAAAATTATTGTTATATATTTTTCCTTTGTGAATAGCCATATAGTATATTATTTATAAATACATGAAACCTTATACACGAGGTTAAATGCAAATACCCTCCGGAGTGGGCCTGGCTCAGCTCAGGGAGGAAGGCCTGCCTGAAAAGGCTGCAGCTTAGGCTGTCACTCTTACTTCATTCAGTCCAGCATTTGGTCACGTCTTCTGTCACTCAAGGCCTGAAGGGGCCGGGCCTTAGACGTTTTCCAATCAGGAACGCTGAGCTGGGGACTGTCCAATCAGGCACGCAGCTGGAGCGGACAGGGCGGCTTCCGGGATTTGGCGGGGCCTTTGTCTCTCGCTGCAGCTGGAGCTCTTGGTCTCGTCTTCCCTGCTCTGAGTCTCCCTGCTCCTAGAGGCCCAGCCTCTGTGGCCCTGTGACCTGCAAGTATTGGGAGATCCACAGCTAAGACGCCAGGGTCCCCCTGGAAGCCTAGAAATGGTGAGAGTGGCGGCTCCGACATCCGGAGAGAGAGGGAGGGGCTGGTTGGAACCGGTGGGAAGTGGCTGTGGCGGACTGGGGCCTCCCCTCAGTCGTCTCCGCAAACTGCGCCCCGAGTTCTTGCCCAGTTCGGCCTCAGTCCCCTTCAGCCATAAGATGGCGGCAGCGCTGATGGCCGGGTCCCCGGGCGTCTTGTCTGTTCCCTGTGCAGTGACTGTGCCCTGACCTGGAGCCCTCTGGGTAGCTCTGCACCCGCAGCGCCGCGTCTCTCCCGGATTGTGCAGGGACCACGGGAGGGTAGTCGGGAGAATCCTGACTCGGCGTGCGGGTTCGTGAATGGGAAGAGCTTTAGTCCGCTGCGTTTCCAGTTCATCTTTCCCCCTATTAAAAATTTATGGCAGGCAGGGCGCGTTGGTTCACGACTGTAATCCCAGCACTTCGAGAGTACGAGGCTGGCGGATCGCCAGAGGCCAGGAGTTCGAGACCAGCCTGGCCAACGTGGCGAAACCCCGTCTATACTAAAAATACAAAAATTAGCCTGGCGCAGTGGCCCACACCTATAATCCTAGCACTTTGGGATACTGTGGCACGCGGATCACGAGGTCAGGAGTTCAAGATCAGCCTGACCAACATGGTAAAACCCCGTTTCTACTAGAAATACAAAAACTTAGCCTGGCGTGGTGGCGCGGTCCTGTAATCCCAGCTACTCAGGAGGCTGACGCAGGAAAATCGCTTGAACCCGGGAGGCGGAGGTTGCAGTGAGCCGAGATCGCGCCATTTGCCCTCCAGCCTGGGTGACAGAGCAAGACTCAATCTCAAAAAAAAAAAAAAAAAAGCCGAGCATAGTGGCGCATGCCTATAATCCCAGCTAGTCGGGAGGCTGAGGCGAGAGAATCGCTTGGACCCGGGAGGAGGTTGCAGTGAGCCAAGATCGCCCCACTACACTCCAGCCTGGGCGTCAGAGTAAGACTCTGTCTCAAAAAAACATAAACAAAACCAAAAAAATGGCAGTCTCCGCAAAAATATTAAATAATTTCATCAAAGAGTGGTTCAAAAATTTTAGATCACCCCTGTGGGTTGTAGTTTTTGGTTCATAAGAGGGCCTTGAAAGACTTTTATAAGGTACATGATGCAAAAATCCCAAATTCAATAATTGGTTAGGTACAGTTATGTTTTTTCTGTCTTCCTGTCTTTGTTTCTCTCCTCTTCTTTTTAGTGGTTTTTTTTTTTTTTTTTTTTTTTTTTTTACCGAGTCCTGCACTGACGCCCAAGCTGGAGTGCAGTGGTAGGATCTGCAACCTTCGCCTCCCAGGTTCAAGCGATTCTCCTGCCTCAGCTTCCTGAGTAGCTGAGATTATAGGCTTCTGCCACCACGCTCAGCTGATTTTTATATTTTTAGTAGAGACGGAATTTCTCTATGTTGGACAGGCTGGTCTCAGCCTCCTGACCTCAGGCGATCCACCGGCCTCGGCCTCCTTAAGTGGTAGGATTACAGGCGTGAGCCAGCGCTCCCCGCCTTAGTTTCTTAGTTTCTTAATTTTCACCTCGAGGGTACTAATTTCCTGGTTATGTAATTGGAGCTTAATTGACAGTTTGTAGTTAGTTAAGCCTGAATTTTGTTTCCTCTAATGTAGTAATTTACCAAAAAAAAAAAAAAAAATGCATTTGAGTTAGATTTTTTTCAAAGCAGGAATCCAGGGCCTAGATTTCCACCTCAGACTAAACTGCCTGCCACTTAACTATTTTCATACTCCACAGAGGACTGATTTTCCCCTACATTTTCTACAAGTGTTCCAAGCAGAGTCTCCCGTGTGTCCCCCAGTTCTCCTTACCTCCAGCCTAACTCTGGCTTGAAGTAAAAACGCATAGTAAATTTCCGGTTCTGACAATCTCAAGAACTGAAAATTTAGTATTTTACTTCAAGGAACTGTCAACTTTCTCTCCCTAATTCACATTATGAACTATTTGTCCTTTAGTGTACGTTTTTCATACTGTATTTTAATTATTTACGGACAACACATTGTAAACATTTTAAAAATTTATTTTCTGTTTTTAAATATTTTCCATGAGAAGAAAGCAAAGAGTAATCTCCTGACACTGTATTGTAAAAAATCTGTGCCTGTTTTCCTTTTATCTTCCTGAGCACAGAGATCATGTTTTAGGGGTCAGTGGTTTTTGGAAACTTTATGGGGTGATGTGTCCTCAGCCACCCTTTAGTTTTTTCTTGGTCCTGTACTGTCTGAATAAACCAAAATACCCACCGTGTCTGTCTGCTAGAGTTAATATTAGCTCTTGGGTCATTTTCTCTTACAGAACAAGCTGAGGTATGGAGTGTAGCCTCTCAAGGAAGCCAGTGAATGCCCTGGGGCTTAGAGGAATCTCCTGGTGTATTCTTCCTTTGAAAAGCTAACCCTTTGAGACATTAAGATTATTTTTATCCAAGCCAGCTTTCATTTCTTGGAGACACATTGCTGGTCAGCGATCAGATGCTGGTATTGAGGGGAAAACAGAAATAATTTCTGCCACCCGGATTCTCTAAGATTTGTGAAAAAAAATCGTATCCCCAAAGACAGAAAAAAACCTGACCTCAGTGAGATAGTACAAGAACTTGCCAAGTAAAATGCATTTGGGGCGCTCATTGGGGTGTAATGCAGTGTCTCCTGAGAGGGTGGTCACTGGGCACTTAAGTGAGCAAGATGGAGTGGGAGAATCTCTCCAGGATTTGGATGGTCTGACTTGACATATGAGTCAGACACATTGGTTTTCTAATCAACACTGCCACTCCTTTGTTTTGTCACCTTGAAAAGATCTATTCACTTATATTGACTCTTTTAAACTGTAAATTGTAGTTTATTAGTAGAGCTTGAAAGGTAAGAAAATATGTACAAAAACATAAAATAGGCGGGTTTCAAAAAATATCTAATCATATATTCCATTGTTAAAAATTCTCTTTTTTTTTTTCCCCCAGTGTGAGTTTAGAAATTTTCTCAGGTGTGTTTTTTATTTTTTGAAACGGAGTCTTGTTTTGTTGCCCATGCTGGAGTACGGTAGCATGATCTTAGCTCACTGTAGCCTCTGATTCCCGGGTTCAAGCGATTATCCTGCCTCAGCCTCCTGAGTAGCTGGGATTACAGGTGCACGCCACCATGCCCGGCTAATTTTTGTATTTTTAGTAGAGATGGTGTTTCGCCATGTTGGCCAGGCTGATCTTGAACTCCTGACCTCAGGTAATCCGCCCACTTCGGCCTCCCAAAGTGCTGGGATTATAGGGGTGAGTCACTCAGGTGTGTTTTTATGCCTGGGTGTTTTCAAACAGAATTTCAAGGGTTAGCTTTTAGAGAGCTATCAAGGGAAAGAATAAGGAAAATCTCTCTTCCATTTTGGCTGTAGAAAATGAATACACAAGAAAATGTGTATTCATTCACATTTCACAAGAAATGTGGTGGATAATTGCTGAGTTACATAGATTCATAAAAACATCAGTTCCTCTTATTGCAGGGTAAGTTTCTGAGAGTCGATATCTCTGTTCTATATCTTGTAATCTTGATGTATGAGTTTAATGCTAATTTTTTTTTTTCCTCTGAGACAGAGTCTTGCTCTGTCACCCAGGCTGGAGTGCAATGGCGCGAGCTTGGCTCACAGCAACCTCCGACTCCTAGGTTTAAGCAATTCTTCCTCAGCCTCCAGCATACCTGGGAATACAGGTGCATGCCAGCTAATTTTTGTATTTTTAGTAGAGACAGGGGCTTCAGCAGGTTGGCCAGGCTGTTTGTTATTGAACTCCTGATCTTGTGATCTGCCCACTTCGGCCTCCCAAAGTGCTGGGATTACAGGTGTGATCTACCGCGCCTGGCCAATGCTAAATTTTATAAGATAAAACTTGGTAGGTACCTCCTAGAAGTGTCCCCATATGACTAATTGTTTACTACATGATTCATAATGGAGATAATAAAGTAGTACATTTATTGTCTGAAAGAAATAGATTCTTTTGCTTTTCTTGTTGAGGTATAAAATGTAAGCACCTTAAGTTTTTTTTCTTTTGTATGAGCACTGTGTTTGAGTAATTTTACTGGATTTTTCAAACACTTGGTTTCAAAACCTGAGTGAATAACTCTTACTTGAAAATTAAAACTTGAGCCCAGTGACTCCAAGCTAAAGGCTCATATTGAGCCTGCAAAAGGAGGTTATTAAAGGCCCAGTTAGTTCTTCCTGGGGAGCCTCCCCTGCAGATTTCCTAGCCTGTTCACTCCAGCCATGGAAGAAGCCTTTTATCTGGAGAGAAGCTACAGAGCCCTGGAAAGCTGGGGACCCACAGACAGGTGCAGTTAAGATTAAGATGGAACAGGACCGAAAGGATCTTACTAAAGTTGTTTTTGCTTTGAGGCAGTTTCTAAAACAAAGTTAGATTTGTATTAAAAAATTAAGTTCCAAAGGAGTATTGCAACAGGAGAAAGTACCAACTATAAGATCTTTAAAGATCTCAAAGGTTAGGCAGACAAGGGTGGCTTTTCTTCATAGAAAGGAGCAACCAAGATTAGAAACAAAGTGGGAGGGGAATGGCAAATGGAGGGTGAAAAAATCAGATTCTAAGTCGGAGAATGTTTAGCATGTTCTTAGGAGGAGCATATAATGGGGTTGTATGTTGGCTCAGACTGAGGGTAGCTCAAAGCTCAGGAGCTGTGGGAAGGAGATAAACTTAAGTTTGATTAAGTAGTATTTTATTTTGATCACTGAAGACAAATTCAGCTGATTTTTCTAAGAGAAGAAGAAAATGGGCAGAGTCTATGTCTGGCTACGTGATAGGTAAGAAAAGAGTGCATCATCTAAGTCATAATGGGATGTGTGTTTCCATAAACTGTTTCTGGAGCACACAAAAGATGGAGAATTTTATTAATTATAGCCATTTACCAGGATTACTTATGTGCTTCATCTTTCCCCACCTCTTTTCTTTGTCTTACACATTTCTTTCATTTGACTTTTCTTGGGTTGTATCTTTTATA